GCATTTCTCTTCCAATCCAGACTTTCATAGGGTGCTGCCAAATAGACTCTCAGGGCATTTCAGGGCTTGGCTTCACTCACCTCCTTGGAATGCTCTCCTCACCCATTTCCTTGCAAGGCCCATGGTCAGGAGGAAGCTGTAGAGAGGTTAAAACTTCTCCCTGGTCCACAGAGGGACCGCCAGACTCCATCTCTACCTGAGTGACACTTTGATAACAGAGCCATCCTCGCTCCCAAGAGCCACGAAGGCAGCTACGTTTGCCAGACTCCATCTCTACCTGAGTGACACCTTTGATAACAGAGCCATCCTTGCTCCCAAGAGCCACGAAGGCAGCTACGTTTGTAAGGACCTTAGCGGTATACTCCTAATGATGGTTATTAGGTCTTACAAAGATAAATGGCTTTAACGAGCTGAGACAGGAGTGGGCCAAAAGGCAGCCAAACAGCAGAGGGATCAGGATGCCACGGACATCTCCCAGCCACGCAAATGGCAGTCAGGGAGAAGGGCTGGTGAGTGCTACGGACAGGGAAGAACAGATGGAATATAAATAATCTGGCAGCCTGCAAACAACATGGCTACTCATGGGTTATTAAAGCACAGCATGTGCAACGAGGGTCAGCCAAGCCATCGGTGCATGGAGGAGCTGGGGATTGCTGATGTTGGGGTTTGGCTTCCAAGCGAAACCAAAAGCACGTCTGTTTTAAGCTACTGCATCAACATGTGTCCATCTATTAGAGGGGGTGAAGACAGAAAAACCCTGTTGGACTTCAACTCTATCCATCTACTCAAGTCAGGATGGCCTCTGAGCAGAAAGTAACCCTTGGGTTTCTCTGTCTTACACTTAAACTTCTTGAGAATACTAAATAATGGAAGAAAAGACCCAAAAACACCCAAAGGGCTTATTAACTTTTGAGAGATGTTGTCCTCCTTTTTAAAAGAAAACATCAGGCTTGGAGAAGTAGTCCATCTTACTCTTACAATTAAAATGAACAATTCTTCTGATGGAAAAAGTATATTGTAAAGCGGGGGGAAGGAGTCCTGTTTAATACTTGTCTTCATACTTTTGAGCGCAGAACTAGAACCACCACTCCCTCCTGAATTTCAGGGGGCAGCTCTTGCCTGGCTGAGGGGTGGTCCCTCCATCGCTCTCCTTAGGAGAGATCTGTCCCAACTCATTCCTTCCATGTCATTAATCTGACCATTAATTAATACTATTACTGATTACAGGAGATATCCAAAAGCTCCAGTTAGAAGTAGGAGCACACTGGGCTGGGCATAGCGTAGAGCTTTTTTTGCCAGAGAAATAACAATGTTGAGCTGGAAAAAAACAACAACAGCTTTAGGAAAGAAGAACCAGAGGGTGAAGACAAGAGGAATGGGACCAAAGGCTATAAATCAGGAATTGCCACCTGTCTTAGATAACACCTCTCTGTCCTAAGCATCTGTGCTCTTCAAGGAGAGTTTGGGTTAGGGATATGGCTGGTGACAGTTCCACCCAGGTTAGTCATCAGGACCCACTTTATAGCAATTGGAAGGAATCGGGAATAGATGATAAGCACCCCAAATCCTGGGTAGGACTTAGTTGCCCAAACAGAGCTGTCTGGGGTGAGCTGAAAGACACCTGGGGATCCACAACATCTGCCTGGGACCCACAGGTATGGTACAGGAGACCAGGGGGAGCACAGTGGGATGTCAGAGAAGATCCCCAGGATGCTATCTACCTCTCTCTAGGAAACTAAATCCCATAATCTGTGTCCAGCATTCATCTTACCCACTCTACAGGGCTTTAACTCCAAAAAAAAAAAAAAAAGCATTGATTCATAAATATTAGGGCTAGAAGGTGCTTGGTTTGGAGTCTGACGTCCTGATGCAAGGTTTTCTCTTAGAGAGCACCATCAATGCCATCACCGAAGCAAACCACTGATATTGTCACACTGAACCAGAAAACAGGCCCCAGTAACAGCCCAGCCACCTTTATTCATACCCAAAGCCCTGGCCATTTTCTCAGGTGTACTCTGAAGCCTAAGCCATCATTTATGACCGATCAGGGATCCCTACAGCACCCTGAAACCAGAGCAGAAACAGCAAAGGGCACACCTCCTTGGGTTGTGCCCTTTTGGAACAATTTGTGATGCTAAACTATTCAAACACCCTTGAAAATCCTGTCTGCCTTTAGTTGTCTTTAAGGATCAACATGTTTTCTCAAAAGCACGGAATGACAAAACAGTGAGTGTGTTGCAAAAAGCTTTTGTGAAGAAAGAAAAAAACTTATTCCAGGAGATGCAGTTTGTAAAACACTATGTTTAGCAGCTATATAATAGCAGCATTTTCTGGCAGTTGAACATCACGTTCCTTCTCAAAAGATCCTAAAGCATTTTGTAAACACTTTCAACATATGGCCAAGTGTAAAATAGCACCAGGAGAAAAAAGAAAAAAAAAAAAAAAGAAGATCCTGTTTGCAGCCTTCCTTCTGATTTTTTTGCCACCAGCTCACGTGGTCTGTTGCCCTCTCCTTGTATGCCAAGAGGGGATCAGGGCCGTGCTTTCGCAGATTTTTGGACCTGTTGCCAAAGACTGCCACACATAGGCTCAAATCCCTATTACACCAAAACCAAAGAGCATCACCACCAACAGCAACGATGGGCTGACAGACCCATAAGAGGAGCCACTTCTCCCACTACAAATGCAAATCTGCTTTCCCAGCACCACCACCTTGGACTGGTTTGATGGTGCATCAGTGACACTGCCAAAGTCATGCACAGCTCAAAGAACAGCAGAAATCTAAGTCATAATCCAGCCAAACACGCACATGGCTAACCCTAGGGACCACTCATGTCTGTGGAGCAAGCACACAGTTACACACTCCTCACTGATGCATTTCTGTAGAGAAATGCAGGAAACACATAATATTATAATTGCTCGGTGTGCAGTTTACCATGTCCGCCAAAGCAAACATTTCCAGAAGATCTTTAACAGTTGCCAGCTGTCAAACCCTGTGTTTTATATCTCATCTAACACATGACAGTTACAGTAGCATGGAGCCCCAGGCACAATATAGAGACATTATTTCTGTACTGGTTTTGTGAAAAAAAAAATAAATTAAGAAAAGACATTTTTGGATTCAACATTTTTTGCTGGGATCTGGGATTATCCTTGAAGGTCCCACATTCAAATACTGGCTCATCTTGTAAGATCAGACAAGTGTATTCTCATATAGGCTCCTAAAGTCTTTCCTTCATTCATGCTTAAGTCGTTACTAGAGGAAGACATGCTCACAGGCATGGCCAAGCTCTCCTATTTTCCTCCTTAATTAACAGGCACAAGATGGGGTTGATTCTCCCTAAATGGGCAGAAAAAGTGATGCCCACACACAAACCCCTTATTCAGCCTCCTGCCATCCCAGAACCAGTAACAGGGGCTTAGCTAACACCAGGCACTGAATTCAGCCCCCCTTTCACATCAGCTCAGCTTTCACATCACAAATAAAGAAGTCCTGTTGACCTAATCCTGCCTTTTTGTCACGTTTCGCCCCAAAGTAACTCTCCTCTTGGGCCATTCAAGCATTCCAATGGTTTACATTGTCTTCTAAGAGGAACATCTTTGCAAGCTCCAACCACACGGTACAGCAACTGGGATTCTCTGAATTTAAATTTATGACCCTCATGCAATAATTAAAATAAGCGGGTATAAGTCTGGCATGCTGAGAAGATGCAGCGAAACAGCTGTTAGTTATAAACTTTACAAAAAATAAAAAAGGATGTTTTATGAGCCTCATCAGAAACATTCTTCACTCTTTCATATAGACAGGAATAAAATTTACACATTAGGCATTCCCTATTGTGATTTAATCCCCGCCCCACACAATGCATTTTTGATCTTGAAGCTGCAAAAGCAAACTTTTAATAGAGTTGGCGGATTGAAGCGCTGTATGAAACAAATGGCAGAGAATCAAAACCCTCTGCACGCCACTCCCACCACAACATGGGGCTTCTCAAACCCATATTCGTGCCGAAAGCTAACACACAAATCTTCCCACTTCTCCCAGCCCAGCACAGCCTTCGCATCGCAAGTAAATGAGCCACTGCCCGGGCCATTAGCAAAGCACTCCCCAATTCATGTTGCTAATTCAAGTACATCTTAGATGGGTGAGGAGCCTGGATTCCTCGCAGAAAGCTGCCAGGACATCAATGGGGCACGGTGGGTGCCTTCTTCCAATGGCATGGGTATTTTAGGATGCCCCAGTGCAACGGTACTCATGAGCAAGGACAGAACCCAGAAGGTCACCAGGCTGCATGAGCCAAGAGCAGTGGTGGGGAGGGCACCGTGGTCCACCAGGTCCCCAAGCAGGAGGTGACACCAGAGGCAGGGCACACACCTCCCTGAGCATCCTCTTGCGGCCGCGCTGCCCACCCCACTGCAACGAGGATGAAACTGTTAGAAACCAGACGGGCACAGCTAGAAATCAGGATTATCTAGAGCCGTCATGATTAATAGCAGTGTAGATTTGGACAGGAAATTAAAGCTGGTGCCTCAGGGCTGAAGCACATCTCTATCTATTAAAAACCAGAATGAGGGGGGAAAAAAAGAAAAAAAAGAATGTGGGAGCAAAATTATCTCCCACTTCCACTACAGGTCCCTGCCTTGTGGCTCCTGATCAGATGAAAATTTTGATGCAAGGCTCAGAGAAAGCTGGCTAGTTGATGGCAACTTTCATATTCGTAGCCCTGCATTTTCACGGCAGGACACATTAAAAATAATGTTGGAGAAATCAGTGCTGACTGACCCCAGCCCCTATAAACACTGACTGCAAGAAATCAGTTCTCAGAATGGAAAGTCCGCACATAAAACTGCATTTTATACAAACATCTCACTTGTGACCTTTCGCAGTGATGTATTAGAGCAACGGCCTTTCCTGCAAAAATTTAACATAAGCCACTAACGCCGCATGGTATTTATTCATCAGGGGTTCTGTAAGAGAAGGAAAAATGTGCGTCTTTTACCTTGAACACTTCCATTGGAAGAGGAAAATTTGCTGCATCATTAAGGGATTTTTCCAGAGCACATTTCCACTCAGATATAGTCTTCAGAGAATAGATATCTAAAGCGATGACAACAGAAAAAACAACAAAACCAAGAGGTGACTGTTTGGAGATCAAACATTTTTGAAAGACTCAAGTTCCTATGTCACAAAAATGGATAGTACAAGTGAAACGAACAGTGTGTGTATTCCAAGCTCTACGGGGCGGATAAATTAAACACAAAAGCAACGAGCAGGGGTATGTTTGAGGAAGACTGTGTTTTATATCCTGAAGTAAAACCCAGAAAAATATACATTGTTCATTTTCTGCTGAAGAAATGAGAATCGTAGTTGAAAATAACAAAAACTCTCCTTTGATTTTCAATTCTCAAAATAACTGATGTCTTCCAGTTTGAGCAGCCTCAGGTCTTCAGCCAATATTAGTTACATTTGAACAAAGGCAGAAATAACTTTACCATGGCTTCTGTTCATTGGAAAGTCTTATTTTATTATTATTTTTTATTGTGGAGTTGGGTTGGGGTTTTTTTGTGGTGAATGGGGGTAGATGTGGGAAGGAACATTTCAGCCAGATCTCTACCCAGACTCATTTGTTGGTACCACACTCAAACCGGACTATCACACCAATTCAAAGACTTACACTTAACGAATTTTCATCACTATACTTTTAGGCAACACCTTTGTGCAGATTCACATTGCTTTCACAGAGTTTCTTTAAATAGGCTTAATATTATTAAATCATTGTATTAATAAGCCCTTTGTGGTTCAGCGCAGTGAAATGCCTACGAATCGTCAAACAAAACAATGTAGGAAACAATAGCATGACGAAGAACATTATATTGGATTTACTTCTGCCCTAGAAAACATATTGTTATACTGCACATAACAAGTTATTGCAGAACATTCATATCAAAGTCTCAAAGAGACAAGATAGGTAGACAGATCACAACAATTGTTAAAATGGAAATGAACATTTACTCAATAATAAACTTGAAACTTTACACAGAGTGAACAGTGTGAAGCTTTTCTTTTGTCTGTTTGGCTTCACACACTTACAGCACAGTTCAATTTGGCCCAATTTGCATTTAAATCCTGTACAGCTAATAACCATATATATTTACTAGCTAGCAAAGATTTACTGCTGTATCTCACAATTCTGAAGGAGGAAATAAAAAATGTGTATAAAAAAAAAAGGAATTGGCAAGCACTGTTTTCACCTAGAACTGATGGTACGAGGGAATTTTATGCTCTGATCTGAACAGATTTAAGACCTTATCAAAATAGGATTTGCAGAATCACTCACTGGAAGTGGATGTATTTATACTTCCACTATATCAAACCTTGCTACTCCAGAACAGGCATCACGGATATGTACATGAATTTAAACACACTTAAAGGGAAAGGTTAACCTTTCAGGGCTGTATTTTTAATTCCTCAACTGTTTGGCTATTAAGAGCAATATATATTTCAAGTCTTTGTTGGCAGCACATGCAGCAGGCACAAGTGTTAAGAAGTGCATTCTTGATCTAATTGTTCATTATTTTATAGCCTTGTTGCTCCAGTTCTCCCTCACTCGCAGGAGCTCTGATTAGCCTGAAGCATAGGGAGGGAAAGGATTCACCTTATTTCTTCCTTTTTGGCTTAAACGATGCCAAACAGGGAAATACTCAATACAACACGGCTGCAGCCAGGCTGTTGTTTCAAATAACAAAAAGTCTGAGTTTTGGAAAATGCACCCCTGCTCCCTGGCCAGAGCAAGCTGAAAGCAGACCCTCGCTTTCTACCGTGATGACAGTGAAGCATAGGAGAGAAGAAAGTGACATTTGGGGCGACTTTTTGCCCCAAGTCAGTGAAAACAAGCAGCAACTTCTTTGGGCAGAGTCAACAAACTTGGAGAGAGGAAGATAATTCCAATGGTTTCAATCACCAGGAAGTAATATCATATGTGCTTTTAATTAGTGGCAGCTAGCTTAGGCCAGCAAGTATACGGACACTAAATTGCACGGTTAAAAGAGCATAAAGCATTTTGTTTAAGTGATAAGGTTGCAGGTAATTGAGCAAAGTGTACCGTGTCAATTTGTATTTAGGTTAACAAGCAGTGAGCAATTAAAATGACTGCCAATTTGTCTTTAAATAGGAAGTAACATAAAATGAGATGATCTTTTCCTGCATAAGCAGTTGAGACAAGACCATCAGTGGCTCTGTGCCAAGCAGCCTATGCCAGTTTGCACTAGGAGGGGATTCAGATATTCATCTGAGGGGAAAAATATGCTACGACCCCTTTGCCTCAGTTGAAAGAGCTCACGGGATACACAAAGCCCATGAAAGTTCCCATTTGGAGAAGACAGCCAGGATGCTATTCCGTAAGGACCCTCTTGCCCATTCTTTTACATTAAGTGGGTGCTAGCATGTGGATGCCTTTAGAAAAGAGACTTCTTCAAACAAAATGCTGTAGACATTTGGATCCATGCGATCTCTATATGAGATGCTCTGCATCGTTGAAAGACTGACCTCAAACTGCTGTGCAAGGAGAACCCCAACCTGGCATACCCCAGAGGTGGATCAACACAGAAAAATCACAGCCCAGACACAAGGGGAAATAATGCTGAAGGTGCATAAGCAGCATCCTAGCCAAGGGTAGGCAAAGCACCGTAACAACCTCCAGAACTGACGTGCAACTGAACATCCCCATTTGATAGCAATTGAACACACAGGCTGATTTGGGAGGAACTGCATGTCCTCAGTGTCTCTTCAGAGGAGACTGACAACAGCTTTGACATACAGTCTAAGGCTGTTCCTGTTATCAATCAAGGAGTCACCTCAACTGGCTTCAGATGTTCAAAAGTTTGACAACCAGGTCTGTTCTCGCTGCTCTCAACCCTCTGAGTGGAAAAAATGGGCTTATGAAGATGTCATTTCACCTGCCCTAGGTTAGACACGTCTTAGGCATCCCCTGTCTCTATTGATCATAAAGAGAAAGCAATAACTCCTGCTGACCTGTCTTTTCGATGCCTACACTATGGCAGGTGAATCTAATCCCTGATGTGTCAAAAACCAAAATACTGCCCACAAACTCTCGCTCCTTCCTAAGAAGGTCCACACTAGTGACACCAAAGATCTTTTTAGTCCAAGTCCTGTTTATTATACAAGTCACCAGGAAGGATGTAAGCAGGCAGGGATGTGTCTCTGGGCACACTCTCCTGGCCTGGGGTCCTTAGGAAATCACACCCTGTGACAGTTTCTGGTTTAGCAGCTTCAGCCCTGAGATTCATTAGAGCTGCCTGCTGCCATCCTGACAACTCACTACGGCTTCCCTGCCTCCTTGCTCCAAGATTTCATTTGCAGACTCTTGAATTTGAAAAAGATCCCTTAAGACCAGTCCTTTGGCTTTTTCCCTTTTCTTCCTCTGGGTTAATGTGATACCACAACGGCCTCAAAAGCTTTGTTCATCCATTGTGCTTTATGATGTTGATGTTAGGTGAACACCAAATGGCCAATATAGTCCACTATGTCAGAAACGGAACAACCAGGATTCCTGCCTCCAGAACCTCACCAGATTTGCCCAGATTTTGGTCTGGCTACTCTCTGGAGTGCAGAGCCTGACAAATGGGTAGACCAGAAGGGGGGATCAAAGAAAGATCCTTGGGAGCAGTGTTCAGGAGAGGACTTGCGAGAAGACGGAAGGGTTCAGACCCAAAAGGTCTTTTCTCAGCAAACTCTGATGAGACACAACTCCAGGAAATGTAAAGTAATGACCAATGGAAGTCAGGAAGAAGATCTGGGGCACTGAGTTCATTAATAACAAAATTTACTAAAAAGTGAATAACCAGAGAAATGCCAACGAGATGAAACAGATATCAGACGAAGACAGATGAGAACAAAAGAAATTTTAGAAGCAGGCAAATCAAGGAGGGGGGAGAAGAAACGTAAACAACTTGAGCAAATAAAGAGTCCAGTAACAAGTTTAGAGACAAGACAACTGAAAAAAATGAAAAGAAGAAAAAAGGTGTGTGGGGGGTGGGGGGGAAGGGTGGGGAATCCACAGAGAAGGAAGCACAAGTGGCTAAAAGGAGGAAAAAGTAGAAAGAGAATGGAGTAAACAAAGACGATGCACAAATCTCATTTGGGACATTTCTCTATTGATTCACCAAACCTATGCAGGCCAAGAGGGTTCAAAGATAGTCAATAAAAAAGTGTTTCTCTGTTACACAAGTACTTTGTAAAATAACAGAGTGAGTGATATTCATGCTCTCCAGCATTCGCATCTAATTTAGAAGTGATGGGGAACATTGATCCCTATCTATCAGTGAAGAAAAAGACATGCTTCCAAAAAGCATTTGAGACCCCAAGTTAGAACCAAGTCCCAGACAGACTTTGAACATGACAATCGCACTTATCGGGGTAACCTCTCTGTATCAGGTGCAATGGACAGAAGCCACATCAGAAATACCTACCCAAAGGAGGGCTATCTTTCTCCTATTGTTTGACACTCATGGAAAAACTTCACCCACAACACAAGGAAAATGAGGCATGGACAAGTTGTTCACCTACACAGGAAAATGTGGAATAGGTCTGCTGGGCCAAAACGTGTGCATTAACCAAGAAAGCACCTTATCTCTCAAGGGAAACAGCAGTCCTGGTCTTCTGGCCTGGAGCTGCCAACAGCTACTGAATGGGGGGCCACGCTCCACAGGACTTGGCTAACAGCTTTGCGGCCCCAAGTATATGCCACAGCTTTACGAAAAATACAGACGCTGCACACTTTCTGCCCCAAACAAGACCATGCATGCAACAGTTTAAACTGTCATGTTTAACCAGATCCCTAACTCCAAGAGAAGTCAGGTCAACTTGACTCAACCACCTCAAGTCAGGACCATGCAGAGCCAAACATCCTGAGGAGAGAGAAAACAAAATGCCCAGAATCTTTCACAAAGTTTTTAGTAACATTATTGGTGTGGTGGGGATAACTCGCCCTCTCAGTCCACCTCCACCACAATGCCATTTAGCCTGGATGAAAGCACATCTCCAAACCCAGACCCAGAACCTGCCAGTGAATGCCTCTGCAAGCATTTCTCCAGAAGGCTGCAAGCAGCCCTGAGCTTCTCCTCTGTGCTGTGGTCCCTAGGCCTTATCCAGCTTGCTAAACCTCAGTTTTCCCCTACACTCAGCCTTGCACTCCTTCTGGCCCTGCTGGTTTGATCCTGCTCCTTTTGCCAAACCCAGTCCCACGGTTCAGCGTCTGATTCCAGCTGACCCCTGAACTCTGCCCTTACCCAGTCTTGCTTGTGTCCAACTCTGCCTGGCTCCTGCCCCTGGATTTGTGACTTTCAGTTTCTGACCTCAGACTGGCTTAACTGCAGACCCTATCTCGCTCCTTCCAAGCTGGTCTGAACACTACACTCAACTCTAGAGAGCTTCTTCCCCAAGCTGCATCTCCCGATGTCCCAAGGTCTGACGCACTTGTAAAGACTTCACTCCCTTGGAGAAAATGAAAGACAAAATTTGTGGTCTTTTAAATCTGAAAGACCCTTTCCACCCTTACTAAAGGGAATATTTTCTTAGGTTCTACCCATAGACATCCCGTAACTCCTCAATGGGCAGGCTGACATGGACAGGCAGACAAACCCAGCACCCTCACTGCACTTTCTGGCTGGTTACACACAAGGCAGGTCTCATTTGGCAGCCGTACAGCGATGCTACAGCAGAATATGAAAGACCTGTGTTAGAAAGACCATGAGGGTCCCAAAACACTTTCTCCAGCCTTGGGAAATTTCATGGAGGTGTACTGCTACCCAAGAGAAATGTGTGTGGCCATGGAAAGATAAACGGGCAGGAGGTCTTTGGGTGAGGGGAAAGCAAACAGAGCCCAATATATGCTGTGAGGTGTCACCTGGGACTTGATTTGGACAGCAGAAGACTGGCTCCCAGTGAGACCTCCAACAGGATGCCTACAGCATGGCCAGGAGGATGTGGCCACCGTAATGCCATTGAAAAGGGCTGGGCAAGCAGGCACATCCTTGGACTAGCCCCATCAGCTCTGCTTCTTGTTGGAAAAACTGCACAAAACAGTTTTTATTGGACACTGCTTCCTTCCAGGAGCGAGCTAAGCTAAACTGAATTTATTAAATAAATTTAACACAATTTACCTGACCCATTTTGAACCTAAATTAGATGACTCTCACATGCCATCTGTGGTACCACTAGAAACTACTGTCAAAGCAATGTGAATGCTGGAGAAGAAAATAACGAGTTGCAAGAATTTCTCAAAACATCAGCAAACGCCACAAAGGGAGATAATATTTTTAGGAGGCTCTTTACCTGCAGGTGGGTCCATTCTGTATTTATTCTCTTGACACCAACCGACTGGTCGAAGTCTGCAATCCAAGTAAAACAACCACTGGTCATAGGATTCAGTCTCCTCCAATCCCACATAGCGAAGGCGTAATCTTCCTCCAACATTTTCAACCACACTAACTATCCAGTACTGAAAGGGATTCTGGGAATCCTGCAGCTCTATTAAGGAATCAACTGTAATGAGGTCTACAGGGTTTTTTCCTCGCAGAGGCTGTTTGAATAGAAGCAAAACTCCTTATTTTAAACTTTATTTGAAGACTTCTCAAGGAAACAGATGACAGCAGAAGATTATTTTTGTTTTTTCACACCATCATCCAAGCGATCAGCAAACAGTCTGTTCTTCTTCTATTTTACCCAATGTCTTCCAAGTGCAAATTCAGAAGTAAAACAGAAAACAACAGTTGTGCTAATTTCTCAACCGACATCGTCAACAACAACAAAAAAAAGAATAATAAAAGGTAGAACAGCTCATAAGGCGCATCCACTTAAGATGCTCCTGAACAACTCAAAGCCCAGTTACACTGGAAGATTTCAAACCAAATTCTCATTGATTGCAGCTGATAAGAACCAATCACAGGACTGGACACTGGTGTTTACCTAAAAGGCGACTACTTTGCGCAGGACCCTAAAATTTCCCTCTGTGCACTGATTTTTCCCACCAAAAGCTTTATCTCACTCCTTCTGGCACATGGAGCAAATTATTCCCCACTGCCATGGGTGCAAGGGTCTATGGTGGGTACTCCAAAGCCCAAAGCCAATGGCAGGTTCCCAACAGCTTAAGTGGCCTTGGGATAAAAGCCCAAGGCACACAGGATTTGCTGGGTCAAGCCACCATGCCCAGGAAACCCCAGTGAGTTTATTTGCTTATACACTGTATTTTCGGTGATCCCATTTACACATGTGCTTTACACCTGCAAAGCTGCCAACCGCAGGCATTAAAAAATCATGAGATGCTTTGCAGAACGATACCTTTGGGGCTCTGTGTTTTTGTTTTGCGATTGTGAGCATCTCTGTGTTGTCAAGCTTTTTCTCCACTAATGTAACAGTTAGATTTCTTATTTTTTTTAAATGCAAGTTCCCATTCTTATGCAATTTCTTGATTCCTTGGCTTTAAGAACAGTATTAAAAACAGCCCAAGAGTTGGGAGCACTGGTCTCCAAAGGAGATGCTAAGCACAGGCAAAATATATTAAAAACAAGGACTTTCTTTTCCCTGTGTTTTTGTCCCACTTTTACTTAATTAAACAATATAAACCTTTCACAGTATTTTTAAAAATATTAATACTGTAAATCAGAGTAAGTCCAGGATGGTTCTTTCTAGGGGTGGCTGAAAGAAAAAAAAGAGAGGAAAAAGCCTTATTTTTGAAAAAAGTTCTCTTTCATATTGAATTGTGAAAATATTCAACATTTTGAACCGCAACCAATTTTGACTACATCTCTCTTAAGCCAAAAATGCAGGCAAAAGAATGAGAATTTGGTAAAAAATGCAATTAAAATTAGCTATAACCTTATCATATGTACAGTTTTAACCAGCTCTATGATTAATAGATATTTCTCAGAACAATATATTTGCCATTATAAGCCACTCTTCTGTAGTGTAAGTGACAAGCACCTGTATAATCTCTTCAAATATTACTTCACGGCAAAATGCTGTGTCAGAATTTAATAATGTAATAGAAATCTACTTTAATGATATTTTTTTCCTCATACAACTGCTTCATTGCAGCAAAACATTCTTTAATACAAAATGATGGTGTAATAATTTCATTTATTATAATAAATCCCTGGCTGTATAAAAGCGTATATTGCTTCTCTGATTTGTGTGCTAAATTTTAAGGCAACGGGCTGTCACTTATCCCGAGAACTGAATGGCTAAGATTAATAATTGGCTTACATGAAATATTAACCTGTACCATAATGCAAAAAGTCTCTATAGGCATAGCTAGCATGTAAAAATAATAAAAAAAAAAAGATCAGTACATATTGATTTAACAGCATAACAACAATCTGCAGCGCTCACGAACAGCAAATCTGTCGACAGGGGGTTACATACATCACACAACACAGACAGCACTAAGCACATCTATTATCGCATAAAACACCAAAAAAAGGGTCAGAAACTTGAAACAGCCAATGCACTGTTTTCTCCGTCTGCATTTCTGCCTGGGGCTGCCTCTTTTCTCTACCTATGGAAAGGGAACAGAGAGGTTCGCGATGGCATTGGCATACACCAGAGATGGGTGTTGGACACCACCAGCTTTTTGCCTGTGTCACCTGGGAGTGGTCCAGGAACAGGGATGCAGCAGACCTGAGGATGTGCATTATTTTGGGCATGTAAGGGCTGTTCAGATAACAGGCTGAAGGAAAAAAAAAATAAAAATTCCTGATGGTATTAATTCTCCCTGCCAGGCAGCTCATACTGCACAGGGATATGGAAAAAAGGATGCAGCTGTGGCTGGTGGGAGTGACTAGGGACAAAATGATCAAAAATGGTGCCTGGATGCAAACCTGCTTCCAAAAAGCCAACATGAGTGTTTACACAAAGGTAAACCACCTGTATGACCTCAGTCCCAGCCTAAATACAAAGGCGCAGAGAGAATTATGTCCTGCAGGGAGGCTGTCTCCTCTCCAAATGCCCACGCAGCATCCCCAGGAGAGCAGGGCAGGTCCTGACGGAGAAGGTGCCCGGGTCCCACAGTTTCAAGGTGAACGTGCGGGATTTTTGTCCAAGATCTCAAGGCAAGCTGAGGCTGCCCCAGGTGCAAGTCACCGTGTGAATACGCTGCACAGACTGGGCTCTTGGCCGTAGGGGTGCATCTGAAAAACCAGCCCCTTCTCTCCTGACTGACCACGATGGAGACCACCCCACTCAACTCCCCAGCTAAATCTGAGTGCTGTGTTCAAGTGGAGGGAATGTCCTAGGGCGGGAGGGGGGCAATTTCCATATATATATGAATCTGACAGTGCTCTCCATCAGCCTTCCAGTACCTAAAGGGGGCTACAGGAAAGATGGGGAGGGACCCTTGATCAGGGGGTGTAGTGATAGCAAGAGGGGTAACGGTTTTAAGCTGAAAGAGGGGAGATGTAGATTAGATATTAGGAGGAAATGTTTTCCTGTGAGGATGGTGAGGCAGTGGCCCAGGCTGCCCAGAGAAGCTGTGGATGCCCCATCCCTGGAGGGGTTCAAGGCCAGGCTGGATGAGGCTTTGAGCAACCTGGGCTAGTGGGAGGTGTCCCTGCCCATGGCAGGGGGGTTGGAACTGGATGATCTTTAAGGTTCCTTCCAACCCAAACCATTCTGTGATTCTATGAGAACCTACTAAAACCCCTCTCCAACCTGTGTCCTGACCCAAAAGCTCAGGTTATTGGTTTGGTGAATCTAATGGAGCACTGCAGGGCTGTGTCCTCCTTCCTACGGACTCCCTCAATGGTCTTCTTCACCACACAGACTTTTCTGAGTACCCAACTTTCTAAGCATCACCCTCCAGCCTAAAGGCAAAACAAACTACCCATCACCAGGTCAGAAGCAGAGCCAGAAGAGTCAAGGCAACATTTCCACCAACTTTTGGCCAGCGTTGAATTGGACCCTGCTGCCAGCACACAGACACTGTAAGCACACAGCCCTACACATCGGGAGCGCAAACACAGCTTCAGCATGCACATCACGACACCGTAACGGAGAGAAACTGCAATCTAATACATACGCCTTCCAGTAAATTTGCAGGTGCCGTCCGGGCGCCGGTCAAATCATGGATGAGAAACTCTGTCCAGTCCATGTATTTCTCTTTGATTGCTGGGGAGGGTGAGGAAAGAAAAGAAACGCTTAGCACAGCAGACTGCAATGGACTTGCCACATGTATTTTAGAGACATCTCCTTGGGGTTTACCAGCTCTAAAGTTTCGGATACAATTGCAACCCAGACCAGGAGAAAAGCTGGTTTGTTGTCCAGTTCCTTGGGCAACCCGTGCACATGGTTGCCTCCCAAAATAAGGGAAAGTGTTGCTCCACCGTAGCCATTGATGGTGATTTACAACAGCGTGCCTTATCACCTCCATCTCTCCCATTCAGAACTGGCCACTGCTGGTGTAACCACTCGTTACCTCCTTACCACATGGGCTCAGATACGATTTACAAAGTCCCTTTGTATGTTTGCTAATGACCTCACATTAAAAAAAAAAGACTGTGCAAACTTTCAGATCCTCAGCACGACAACAGAAACTCCAGGTGCTTGGCCCCACAAAGCACCAGAATCAACCCTGAGAACATCGTATGTCAGCTACCAAGTCAATACACCTGCAAGAAGACTTAAAGAATTTATCAGGAACTTCTATTACATTAAAAAAAAAATAATAATGTTAGAGCAAAACACTGTAAGCCTGTGCCACTTTAGGGATCCATATCCACATAGTTCTATAAGATTTGAACTGAAATCTATAAATGTTGCCTCTGGGATTCAAATTCTGGTTGAATTCTTGCTGAAACCAGTAAAAGTTGGGCACCAAAAGGCAATTCAGCAAATCTCAGCTTCAGAGATTCAGATGCCTCTTCAAGCATGTTGTGCATTTGCAGTCAGAAACCCAGAAATTTTATTTCCACCCGCTTGTCCATGGGAATTAAATTACATCAGAAAGAGTTTTCTCTCCCAAAAGATCTTACTTATATGTTAGACAAACCACAGTAATATAGTTACGTTGCTAACACAACACCACCTATGGAAAGGAAAAATCACAAGCATTTGAAAATTAAAACATTTCCTCTGAACAAATAACTGGAGACATGGCTTAAAGACCACTGCCACACAGGGGAGGCCACGAAGGGCTGTCATTAACCAGCGTAGGTCCAAAATAATTAAATGATAGCAGCATTCATCTTTTGCTCAAAGGAAGTGGAGTCCTTTGCTCCACACTTTAGGGAAATACCATGTTAGTCAACCAAAAGCAATCCAGCCTTTCACACAAATCAGAGTGGGATATCCAAATGTTTTTAAAAGCTCGGTGACGGTGACTTTGCAGCACTTCGCAGGGATGGGTGTCAGCTGCCACCATGCCTTGACAATGCAGAACCTGAGCTGTGGGACCTCTGAGAAGGTGCAACCTCAGCGGTTAGAGCAGGACATGCACACAGCAACACGAGCACAAATATTGCCACCACTACCTCCAGACGAGGAGACCAAACCTGAGCCTTCTCGAAACGCACCCGCAAGCCATCGGCTGCCAAACACTGAATTAAAGAAATTCATAGAGGGAGCACTGGGTTTGCCCAAGGACAGTTATACGACATTGTCACAAAACATGCTGATGGTTGGGTTTGCTTCCTGCGTGGGTGTCTGGCACACTTGGACTGTGGCCCATACGCAGTTTATACCCTCAATACCTTATGCAATGCATACAGCTGGCCACAGACAGACAGAAGCCGTGCCCAACAGACCATACATCAGACCTCATTTCTGAGTTGTGCTCCTTCCCCAAAAGCCAGTTCTCCCAATGTCACTTGAACTATACACTCAGGTTATAGACCTAAATTACTTTCAAAGTGCATTTAAATGTATTTAAAATTAGCCAACTTTAACGTGATGGACTTGAGCATCTATAAAATAAAACCTGAGCTAGCCTGGAATGGCTCTAAGGCTTTTGCAGCACTGATTTTACATGATTTCCAGGAGATTGATGACCTTCACATTATTTAAGATGAAGGAATAGCCTGAGAAGAAATGGTTTATAGATGACGCTTTCTCTCTCAACATTCCTGTTGCGTACACCTCATCAGTTCCTGTCCACCTACATTAGGATAACGAAAACAAGCTTAATTTCGGCATCAGTGAGAAGATAGTAATTGCTGTAATGAATAAAACCGGAGTCCCTCTCGTTCAGACTCCTGCCTCTCGCTGTGAACAGCACCGGGTGCATCCCAGAAAGGTGCAAGCTGAATTTCATTTTGGCTCGTACCCACAAAGTTGTCAGCCAAATTTTCAATGCCAGAGCTTCATTACTAAGGAATGACAAATGTGATAAAAAAACCCCACAGTTCGAACCTTCAAAGCTGGCACGAGGAGGGGGGAAAAAAAAAAGGGATTTTCAAAGTTGACAACAGATTTCAGGGGCCTCCATTTCCAGATTCCTGATTTGAGATGTCGTACCAGTGCCTGATTTACAAATCCTGCTGTCTGCCAGACCGTCCCCCTTCTAATGAGTCTCAAAAAAACCCTCTTGTCCTTTATAAAAGACTTGCACCTCACAACTTTTTGACACCTAAATAAGGTGGGGCCCCTCTCCACATTCAAATCCAGATTACAGGCTTCCAAAGTCCAAAAGTGCCAAGGTGATCTTTGTTTTCAGACCAGACTCAGCTGAAAAAAACAAGCTATTCCCAGTTTCTGAGTGGTTTCAGAGCTATCCTCCCCAAATAAACCTAATATTTGTTGTTTTGCTTTATTTTCTTCTTCTTTTGCAGTGTAGATGAAGGGACTCTGAAACCTCTGAGAGAGAAAAGATTGCACTGGAAGTTTTAGGAACAGGGATTTGCATTTTTTTCTGTGCCTATAGAGTGCAATCACCCTTCTCAGTACTCCAGTTCAAGTCATTACAATGCAAATATTAACTTTTAGCAGTAATGAAGTGTATCTGAATCATCATGATACCTGCAAAAGCTTTCGAGGACCAAGCAAAATGTTAAACAAGAATATTCAAACAAAGGAAAATCTGCTGGGTAAATGAGAATAGCTGTCAGTGTAACACATGGGTGCCCAACCTGAGCATCCATCTCAAGTAACGCTGACGCTTCTCTGGTGTATCAGCCTCAGCACCTGTGAACTGAAGCACTGATTTTCAATTGCTAATTCACATTTCCACTTGTTAGCTACAGGAAAAAACCCACCTGAACCTCTCCTACTGCAGACAAGCTGGAAGAACTCTGCTTTTAGAGCCCATCTGCAGCTCACTGGTCAACTGGTAGGATGGGAAGGTGGACAGGACAAAGGATCCTACTCCATGGGGACCTAAGCTCCACTCGTATTGCTACTTTCAAAACAATTTTTCCTTCCTTAAATAACTTCAGTGAGTCAGCGGTGGTCTACGGGGCTCAGATATCCATGTCTTCTCTACTGTCCAGTGGATCCCTCTTCCCACAAGACCTCTGCGAACTTCCCCCACCCAGAACCTGTCAAGCTGAATGCACCTCTGGGATCTCAGCTAACATCTCTGGTGCAGGGGAAACACATGCATGAGAAATAAAGCAAAATAAATCATCAGTCCTTTCAAAGAGAACCGTGTCATGCAGGGAGGTAGGTCCTTCTACAAAAGCCAAAAGTCACATAGGACAAAATGTGTTCTTCAGCCCTTCAAATGGCAATACTCTGATGAGCCCTCTCCAACCACGAACTGTGACGGGCACAAGCAGTAATTCAGAAGCGCATGATTAATCTCACCCTAATTCATGCCACCCTGGCTCCTGCTGAGCTGCACAGACTCAAAAAGTGATAAAAAAATCTTCATAGTAAGAAAGTCCTTGGTACTTGTGGCTGACTTTTACCAATGCATAAAATCCTCTCCAAGTGGGGCTAAGTAGTGAAAATTACCCGTCCCTTTGCACACCCACCCCTCCCTCAGCAGGCACAGGTCACCTGTGAAGGTGGCACCTTGGAAAGGAACTGTCACCCACACAACGGGGCTCCAAACAGGCCCAACAACAAGAAAGCATCTGAGATACTCTAGTTACATTGAGCCTGCTTTGGAAATTATACCCTAAGCACTGGTGGCTTGCTTGACAAAGACAACAGTAACATAATCACAGAATCACAGAATGGTTTGGGTTGGAAGGGACCTTAAAGCCCATCCAGTTCCAACCCCCTGCCATGGGCAGGGACACCTCCCACCAGCCCAGGTTGCTCAAAGCCTCATCCAGCCTGGCCTTGAACCCCTCCAGGGATGGGGCATCCACAGCTTCTCTGGGCAACCTGGGCCACTGCCTCACCACCCTCACTGGAAAAAACTTCCTCCTAATATCCTAATAATTACATTGATCCTCTAGAGCACGAGGCTTTGATGCTCCACCTACAAGGACACAGCTTGGCCAAGAGTCCCACTATTGCTATGAGCAACAGACCCATCTTACTGCCAGTCCTGTGGTCCTGCACGGGGTCGCTGTGCAGAGAAGGGATCAGTAAGAGGTTGTGCAATGGTCTGAGACCCTGGGGGACAACTGCCATCAAATTATTCCAGTGAGTGGAAACGATTCAAGAGAAGTAGAGACTCAGTAGCAGGAAAAAAAAAAAAAAAAAGACTCAGTTGAGTGATCCCACTGATGCAAAGGCCACAGTGTGAGCTGAACTGAATGATTAAACACTAGATAATCCAGAGAGGAGACAGGTATTCGCAACACCCTCACCATGGAAAAAGCATTGGTCAGAGCTTGCACCGTATTAGACACAGTACAGCCCAAACACAAGGATGCATCGCATCAAGAGATGCTCCCCAAACACCAGTGCTTTTGTAACTGCTTTTTTTTCTTCCAGGTTTAGCAGGCGACACCACAGCCCCATGTGGAGCTGCAGCTTGTGCATGCAGATGTACCTGTTTCCTTTGGATCGGGTTCATTTCGTCTCGGAGCCAGTACGGGTGGTTGTTTTCACATCTCTGCAGCTCTAAGGCCAAATGCTTTAAAGCATCTTCCTGCCACAAAAATGCCACAGAACAACCTGCCTTAGAGCAAAGCAGCCCAAAACAAGAGGCCAGATCTGCACATTACTGGGCCAAGGCGTATCCATACCAGAGCCAACGGTTCTGCTCCAGATTACAC